GAGGAGCCCGCTGGTTCGAAAGCAGACCTTTTAAGGGGCTTTGGGCTTGGGTTTAGGGGTTTAGGGTTTAGGGTTTAGGGTTTAGGGTTTAGGGTTTAGGGTTTAGGGGTTTGGGGTTTAGGGTTTCGGGCTTAAGTTTAGGGTTTAGGCTCCTTTAAGAGTCCTGTATGGGTCGCATTAAGGGCTTAAGTTTTAGGTGTTCAGGGTTTAGTGTTCAGGCTTCTTTTTAGGCTTATTTATGGGCACCTGAAGGGCGCTTTCAGAGCTCCTTTAGGGCAGTGTCCGGGCTTCTTTGAAGGATACCTTATATAAAGGGTTTAGGGTTTAGGGTTTAGGGTTTAGGGTATATAAACCCTAAACCCTGAAAGCCCTAAACATCTTAAACCCCATAAAACCTTATAAGCCCTAAACCCTGAACCCTGAAAGCCCTAGACATCCGAAGCCCCATAAACCCTTCAAGCCCTAAACTCTACACATTGAAAACCCAAAACACCCTAAACCCCATGAGCCCTTCATGCCGTAAACCCACAACCCAGAAAACCCTAAACCCAAACCCGAAACCCTGAAAACTCTGAGCCCAAAAAACCTATAAACCCTAAGCCCCATAAACCCTTCAAGCCCGCAACCCTAAACCCTGAAGGCCATGAGCCTATGCCCCCATAAACCCAAAACCCCACCCTAAACCCCAAACCCTAAACCCCAAAGCCTAAGCCTAAACGCCCATAAACCCTACCCCACAAACCCTAAACCCTTAACTAAACCCTAAACCCTAAACCCTACACCCTGAAAAACAAGCCCAAAGCCCTTCGAAGCTCATGAGCCTAAACCCCCATAAACCCCACCCTAAACCCCAAACCCTAAATCCGAGACCCTCAACCCTACCCTTACAGCCCTTCGAAGCTTACCCTAAGGGTCCAAGTACCTAATCCTCTACTCTCCCAAATAGCAACCTACATAACTACTACCCGAAACCTAAGTACCTAATTTTGGGGTCCTTTGGACCTTAATATAGAATTGGTAAAACCAAAAAAAGGAACCACAATGGCCCTAAACCCTAAACCCTAACGGAGACTTTTGGTAGGTCCCTCTAAACCCTAAACCCTAAACCCTACACCCTACAAACCCTTACGACCCTTCGAAGCTTAGGTGTGGGAGGCAGACCTTGCGCTGCGCAGCCGACTCTGCCACCGCCAGGAGTCCGGCCTGCATACCCAGAGAGCCCAAGGGGCAGGGTTTAGGGTTTAGGGGTTAGGGTTTAGGGTTTAGGGCCCCTTAAGTAAGGAATAGACCTTAAAATTATAGGGTTTAGGGTTTAGGATATAGGGTAATATACCTTAAATTACAGGGTTTAGGGTTTAGGGCTTAGCCAGAGAGCTCAATACCCTATCCTTTTTTAATTGGAAAGGGGTATTGGGCTCTCTGGGTTAAGGGATCCTTAAGTGCTCTTCAAGGGATCTATTATATAAGGGTTTAGGGTTGCATCCTTCGGTGGGCCTGTTACAATTACCGTAAATTACAGGGGACCTTGATATTCCCTAAGGATCCATGTACCCCAAATAGTCTAAACTTTGGCATGAATGTAGTCCCTACATAGGACCCTAAACCCTAAACCCTAAACCCTAAACCCCTAAACCCTAAACCCTAAACCCTAAACCGACTTTGGGGCCAATGTATATACTGTTTGGGTACATGGACCCTTAGGGATTCTGGGTTTAGGGTTTAGGGTTTAGGGTTTAGGGTTTAGGGGATTCTGGTTTAAGGTAAAGGGTTTAGGCTTTAAGGCTTAAGGTATCTTCCTTATTCAAGGGGTATTGGGCTCCCTGGGTAGCTTTCCGAGGTTTCGAATTTTGATGCCTAAAAATAGTTAGAGTAGGGTTTTTGGGGTGGATTCCTTATTGAAAAAGGCACCAAAGCCCTGTTCTAATTATTAATGTTTAGGGTTTAGGGTTTAAGGCTAAGACCTAAACCCTAAAACCCTAAACTGTTTAAGGCCCCTACATTGGAGTTTAGGGTCTCGGGGCTTGGGGTTTAAGGTGTCCCAGGTTTCATTCAACGTGTCCTTACCCTTCCAGGGCTTCCAGGTAGTCCTTTCGGCTATTTGCGGGTTTACAGGTTTGGGGTGTATGGTCCCTAAACCCTAAACCTTCCCCAATCAGCCAGGAAAAAAAGGGTACACTTTCAGATTACTACTAAATTATAAGAACTAAAGGTTGGGTATCAGGGAACGAAGAAGCCCTACCCTAAACCCTAAACCCTAAACCCCTAAACCTTAAAGCCTACTAAACCCCTAAACCCCTAACCCCTAAACCCTATACCCTACCCTAAACCTTACCCTAAACACCTAAACCCTAAACACCTAAACCCTAAACCCTAAACCCCAAACCCCAAACCCTAAACCCCAAACCCTAAACCCCTGAACCCTCGGGTGGCCGGGCCTCCGTGCAGGCGGCTGTACCGAGGGTGAGCTGCTTCAGCGATTTCAGGGAGCCTCGGTCGGGGCTGCTCGGGTTTTTAGAGGTTTTCGGGCTCCTTTAAAGGGTAGGCTTCCTTTAAAGGGTATTATGGGGTTTTGGGGGTTGAGGGGTTTAGGGTTTAGGGTTTTCGGTTTAGGGTTTAGGGTCTCGGGTTTTTAGGGGTTTTCGGGGTTCCTGTAAAGGGTACTATGGGGATCCTAGGCTTCCTTTAAAGGGTACTAGAGGGTTTAGGGGTTGAGGTTTTAGGGTTTAGGGTTTAGGGTGATCCTGGGCCGTTGAGGAACCTACTGCGAAAAAGCAGATATTCTGCTAGGCGAGCTACAGATATTTATTTGGAACGCAGCAAGAAAGTTGTATAGTAATGATTTATACTAGGAGCCTAACCTAGAATCAAAAACCCAGAGACTCCAAAACCCCTTAATTAAGGAATAGACCTTAAATCATATTAGGATTCCTCCTGTAGTTTAAGGTCTATTCCTTAATTAAGGGGTTTTGGAGTCTCTGGGAAAGCAAAAATGGTATATACCACTGAACATCCAACGAGCTCACCAGCTTGCAAAGGCTCTTAGTGAAGCGATCTGCCAGTAAACAGTCATCCGCATCAGCAAGCATCGGATAGAGCCTTAGCTGCCCAGTACCCTGGCCCGAAAGAGCTTAAACTTTTCTTTTAGTAGGGGTTTAATATACCAAAAAAGTTTAAAGTTTACCTATTGGGCTCATGAGGAGCTGAAAGTCCAGTGCAAGCGACTGCAGCTGCGATAGGTTCAGGTCCGATAGAAACTTCAGCATCTGCTCGCTTGTTACGTCATCTGAATGAAGAACACAAAGAGTCAGGCCTGCGACGGCATCTCGGGCCAGTTGCTGCGCCAAGGCCGCCAGTGAGACACTGTTGGAGAGATGGTGCAAGGAAAGCATGCCTAGGATTTGAAGAAACCAGGGAGAAAAAACATATAGACTTCCATTTCATAATGGTTCCCTTAAGGAACAGGCCCAAATACAAAAGTATTAAAGTATGGTACTCCAGAACCCAGATGCAGCAGTTCTCCGGCCAAGTCATCTGTGGGACGATACGAGACAAGAGGCCTGATGCAGGCGGAGAAACAGCCTGAAGGGACAGATGACGAAGAGGATGCGCCTTGAGACATCGCTGTAAGGAAGCTGCGAAGGCCTCTGGCACCTGTGTTCCCATAGGCTTCAGGGATTCATCTTCGGGTAGGTCGTTACTTCGGAAATTTGACGGCGAGAAGGTTGGGCTTTCAAACTTTTCGCACTGCTATGAAACATGACAAGAGCAAGGCCAACTTGGCAAAACAGTCCGAAATACGAACACCCAATAAATCCCTGCCGCCTAGACCCCAAAAGTCTTTAGAATACTGGCCTTTTATAGGTTTTACGTGGTTTAACTAATCCCTAAACCCTAAACTAATCTCTAACCTGGAAAAGGTGCAAAGTGCTGAATTGCATATCAGGTTCGGTGTTCGGTGCGAAATGAACATCGAAGCTGAGGCTCTGCAATGTCCGCAGGCAGGAAGAGTGCGAAGCCAGGCAGTCCAAGATCCTTCGCTGCCTTCTGAACCCCTCCTAAATATTAAACCTTTAGCCACCAAAAGTTGAAGTCGTAAGAGCCAACCAGAAGAACGCCGAGTATCATGGTTCCGCTGGGATCTGCGGTGCTGTTCAGTGCCAGGTGCAGCCTTCGCAATTTCCTCAAGGCGGGTAGCACTTTGACCTCAGCTTCTCTTTAAGCCTCCAAACGCTGCCAGAAAAGGCAGGGTTTAGGGTTTTGTTCAGGGCTTTCCCAGCATCATCGCCTAAATGCCGAAAACAACTACAGACTACAGGTCGTCGAAGCAAAACTGCAGAACCTCTGCTGTTGCAAATATACAACACAAACATACACCGTGAAAAACATCGGCACCAAGGATACGGACACAGCTACCAGGAATACTGTAGGGGGCCTTGATAATAAGATTTCCCTTACAGTGCAGTCATAAAGGGACCGTAGAATGGTAGTGTTACTAATTCTTTCGACCGTCACCCTGGCCCTAAACTTAACCCTTGAAGCAAACCCCAAACCATAAACCTTGAACCCGGAACCTTAAACCCTAAACTTGACTCTTGAAGCAAACCGTAAGCAATAAACTTAACCCTTGAAGCAAACCCTAACCCCTAAACTTAACCCTTGAAACAAACCCTGAACCCTAAACCCTGAACCCTAAACTTGACCCTTGAAGCAAACCCTAAACCCTAAACCCTGAACCCTAAACATTAAACCCTAAACTTAGCCCTTGAAGCAAACCCTAAACCACAAACCCTGAACCCTAAACCCTGAACCCTAAACTCTAAACCTTAGCTAGCCCTTGAAGCCTGACGATCTAAGGCTTTATTGCGACGAGGAGCTGTCTCCTCCGGCCAAGTCGGCTGATTGGGAGATGGCCATGCCTGCAGCCTCGAAGGTCAGCGAGATGGGAGCTCATAGTTTAGGGTTTAGGGTTTAGGGTTTGGGGTTTAGGGTTTAGGGTTTAGGGTTTAGGGTTTAGGGTTTAGGGGTTTAGGGTAGGGTTGAGTGGTTCTTTAAGGTTTAGGGCTTAGGGTTTGGGATATAGGGTGGATGGGCTGCAACCCCGGAACGCTTCACGAGAATGTGCTACGACTA